CTGGGTACCAGCTAAAATAAAGCGCTTCCTTAACTTTTGGACTTGCCTCATTGTCATCTGATTTTTGAGCTACAACACCTCCCACAGGGCTGATCGCGACCCGGCGCTCGCGCTGGAAGGGCGGAGTGGCTCCCCTCTCTGGGAGCTGGTCCCGGGGTACCCTGGGGTGGGAGGGTCGAGAGGCGCCACTGCTCCGGCCGGGATGGCGTAACCGGCCGCTTCCGGCGGGGTACCGATCGGTGTCCCTTCCCCGTGTGTACTTCTGGATCGGTAGACTTCCCGGGCTTCGACCCGGTTTCCCAGGAGACCTCCCCAAAGTTCCGGAGTTCCCAAGGGCAGAAGGAGGATGCGTGGTTTTAAGATTTTCTTCGTGTGGTAGTACGCTTGGCACTGTTGTGTCTCCCTATGTCCTCGGCCTCGGCATTACTTTGAGGTGATGAAATTGTAGTTCATGTAGCAGGGATGTTAAAAAAACAAAAACAAAAAAACTTCACCTATGATGCAAAACCGTGCCCCAGTGCAGCCGTTTCTGGATCTCTTTGTCATCTTCTTACCCAGGCAGAACACAGATATACAAAATTGGGTTAAACACAATCGCTGGATTAATGGTGTTAATTGTAACCCTAGGTGCAGGCAATTTCTAGTATCCAATCTATAAGAACTGTAGATTGATGTAGATTTACATTTACTCGTTTTCAAGTCTCCTTTTAAATTTTTTTAAAAAAATCATTTATTTTTTCATTCATTTATTTGGTGCAGGATCTCACCATGCAGCTTGGATTGGTAGCGATCCTCCTGCCTCAGCCTCCCCAGGCTGGGATTACAGACGTGCCCCACTATTCCTGCTTTTAGTGCCTGCATGTGGCACTGGGGATCGAAGGGGTTCTTGTGCTTGCCAGGCAGGTGCTTAGATTGTCGAGCTGTCTCCGCAGCCCATCTCCTTTTTGTGCCACCTCTGAATATAATCACTATCACGAAATTTGTTTGGTGTTCCCCTGATTCCTTTTTATCAGAAAATAGTTATATTGAATACATATGTACGTCCAAATAATGGCTTAATTTTAGTTATCTCCAAAAGGCCTCATGCGGTATGTAACCTGTTTACTTTTCTGTCATTAAGATTTATTCATATTGTTGAGTTAAAATTATGAGTGTATAACATTCCAGTTGTGAAGACAGCACTGCGTGGGCTGACTGACCGTAGTCTCCCTTCTATGGGTTAGTGCAGCAATTTCAGCGGTTGGTCCCTTTGCTTTCGCTTGAGTTGGCTGCATTTTATTCTCAGTAGCGTAGCTCCAGTGATATTGTTTAAGTGTAAATTCTATCACAAAACTTAAGTTTAAAATCCTTCAGCAAGGGCTGGCCAAATAGCTCAGGGGACTAAAGCGCCCAGGCCGGTTCATCCCGGCTGGTCACGCTCCCCCGTAACCTGGGGCACACTGAGACCGCGATTGAGACTGGGCGTGGTGGTGCATGCCTGTAATCCCAGCACTTGGGAGGCTGAACACAGGGGACTCACTACAAGTCCCATCTGTGTAGTGAGACCCTGCACCCTGTAGACCCTGTACTAAATACATAAAAAAACCCTGTTAAAATCCTTCAGCAGCTCCCCATTTCATTACAGATAAAGCTGAAGTCCTTAGCATGGCCTACAAAATCCTACATAAATTTTACTGTGTATAACCTGGTGCAAGATTATACATAAATGCTCATTCTCCTCCGCTCCAAAGGAATTTCTTCTTGTCTGGAGTACCCAAGTCACACTCGTGCATGGAACAAGGTTCTGCTTCTTTGCTGTCTGCTCACTTCCCACTCTTCCACTTTTGTGCAGCTTCTATCTTCTCAGTAAGATTTATCTCGCACCTGCCCTTCTCCCCACCCCCAGCCCCGCGGGTGGAACCCAGCGCCTCGGGCAGGGCCGAGCAGGGGCTGTGTTGTGGGCTACACATTCTGCCCTCCATCACATTTTCTAGTGCTGTGTAATTTATGCATCTTGTTGATGTCCCCCTGGGCTGCAGTGTAGCATCTTTAAAGTCATGGTACTTGTTTGTTTTGTTCACTACTATATGCCAGAATTTAGGAGGGGCTTGTCGCGAAATCTACTCACAATATTTGTCAGACGAATGGGCATTTAGGTTGTTTCCACTTGCAGAAATTACCAACAATGCTTCTAGGAATCTTCTTGTCCACGCACGGAGCTTCAGGAATACTATTACTGGCTGTAGGGTATATATGTGTCAAACATTGGAAAATAGCGTCCAGTTGTTTTCCAAAATTTATTTTATCATCCATGCTGAGACAGTCCTGTTTCTAACAGTCTCTTTAACAGTTGGCTTGGTAGACTTTTTAAGTTTTTCCAACTGAATGAACATAAAATATGGCCTTTATAAACTCCCAGAGATGGGACATCTTTTCACATTGTGTTTCATGCACTGTGATACAACTGCTCAAACCTTTTGCCCATTTTTCTATTCCTTGAACTTGTCTTCAGGTTTGTATGGGTACATACTCTAGGTACCATGTTTTTGTTGGGTTTATGTGTTGAAAACACTTTCTCCTAATTGTATGTTTTTGTTTTGGTTGTGGTTCTCTTGATGAACAAAAGTTGTTAATTTGCATATGATAAATTTATTTATTTATTTATTTATTTTTTGCGGAACCGGGGATTGAACTCAATGATAAATTCATTGATATTTTTGTTTACCATGAGCAATTAGTGAGAGCTTTCAGAAAGGGCTCCCACCTAGCAGCACTCCCAGCAACTCTAGAAGTACGTCTTCAGTTCTGAAGAGCGACCTGGCAGGCACAGTCCCTGCTGCGTGTTGCACGTGGAAAGTTGACATAGTCTTTCAGTCTTCCTTACACTTAGGGTAAGGACATGTGTTCCTTGTGTGACCAATCAGGTATGCCTTCCCATTATTTGAATTGAGTGCAGGGGTTACAAGGAACTAGAGGCCTTAGAAAATCTCTTGTGGCAGTGGCACAAATGTGAGTCTGTGGATTGGCAGTGGCTGAACGCTAGTCAGAGGTATCCCGTGTTGGGGCACCCAGAAGCCGGGGGGCAAGCTGCAACACCCACTGCACTGACAATGTTTTCAGCTAACTTGTAA